TTTCCCCAGCCCCACCCCTCATCTCTCTATTTATTTCTGAGCTCCATTCCCCCTCCCCATTTCTGAAGAAGGATCCCAAAATGAAACGTCAACTTTTCTGCTCCTCTGATGCTGCTTAGCCTGCTTTGTTCCTCCAGCTCCATTTGTAAATGAGAAATCGTGTCTCACCAACTAGTTTGAGTTTTTTGAAGAGGTGACAATGAAGATTAATGAAGGCAGTGTGGTAGACGTTTTCTGTATGGACTTCAGCAAGGCATTCAACAAGATTCTGCATGGTAAACAAATAAGTAAGTATAGGTCCCATGGGAACCAGCGCGAGCTACCCAATTTAATACAAAAAATGACTTGAAGGTAGGAAATAGAGTGGTGGTACAGGGTTGCTTTTCAGACTGGAGGCCTTTGACCAGTGGTGTGCCGCAATGATCAGTGCTGAGTCCAATGCTTTTCATCAGTTACATAAATGATTTTGATGTGAATATGTGTACAGTTAGTACATTTGCAGATGACTTCAAAATAGGTGGTGTAGTGGACAATGAAGAAGATTATCTCAGAGTAAAACGGGACTTTGATCAGATGGGCCAATGTGCCAAGGAGTAGCAGATGGAGTTTATTTGCGATAAATGTGAGGTGTTGCATTTTGGAAAGACAAATCAGGGCAAGACCTATACAGTAAATGGTAAGGTCCTGGGGAGTGTTGCACAGCAAACAGACTTAGGGGTGCAGGTGCATAATTCCTTCAAAGTGGGCTTGTAGGTAAACAGGATGATCAAGAACTCATTTAGCATGCTTGCCCTTGTCTGTCAGAGCATTAAGAATAATGTGCTCATTGTCCTCACAATATTCAAAAGAAACTTGATGCATAGACTTTCCATTCTGTCAGGCAACGTTTATCCTATTTGTGATGAAGCGGTTTGGTTAAGTGCCATGACCGAGGGGCAGAAAGAAGCTCCATTCTGTACCATGGGAGCAAAATCATCCATTTCCTGTGTATCAGTGACAAACACAAACTGTTGTCTGTTCCTATTGGGCATTGATCATTCCAACCTCATCATTCACTGATGACCAATAGAAATAGGGGAGGCAATGGCCTAGTGGTATTATCGCTGGACTGTTAATCCAGAGACCCAGGTAATGTTCTGGGATCTGGGTTCGAATCCTGCCACAGCAGATGGTGGAATTTGCATTCAAAAGATAACTGGAATTAAGGGTCTAATGACGACCATGAATCCATTGCCGATTGTTGGCAAAACCCATCTGGTTCACTAATGTCCGTTAGGGCAAGAAACTGCCGTCCTTACCTGGTCTGGCCTACATGTGACTCCAGACCCACAGCAATGTGGTTGACTCTGAACTGCCCTCTAGGCAATTAGGGACAGATAATAAATGCTGACCTAACCAGTAACTGCCCTCATTCTGTGAATGAGTAAAGAATAAATCAGCAGCTTCCATGATCCTAGCTGAAGAGCAAAAAGGGAAAGGCAGGGTCGGGGAAATGGGAGTAACTGGGGAAGTGGTGTGGCATAAAGTGGGAGTGGCAGAAGAAGAATGTGAAGGGAGATGGTCAGTGGAAGGCTATGTAGAAGCAGAAGGTGCAGTGGAAAGGAAATAGGAATGTGAGGAAAGAAGGAGGGGGAGGGCCGATGAAGTATCAGTGATTTCGAGAAGAGACATTGATTGGCAGTCAAACATCACTGGTCAGGAAGATCGGGATCTGGTTTCTAATCAAAATTAAGAAAAGACTTCTTACACTTTTTTTTCCTAACACTTGATTCTTGTTTACATTGTGCATTCACTCTGCATTTCTGTACCTCCATCAAGTGCAGAGGACATGTTTTTCTCCCCTAGTGCATTGTGACATTTTTTCAGTTTTTTTTCCAATAAGAACAACAGTGGACGTTTGTTCTAATAATTTGCTACCAATTAAATATACACATGAAAATGTGATTTCAGCTCCTACAGTGTGTCTATAATGTAGAATTTAATTGAATCTTTATCATCATCGCCCCAGCTCTTTTAAACAAACTTAATGAATGAGTCTGTGTCAATCCGGCAGATGAAAAAAAAATCCTTCAGCTCAGACTATTTCAGTGAATGTTAAAAAGAACATGTTCCAGGCACACATAAAATACAAATGTTGCAATGCAAGCTGCCAAAACCTAATCCAACATTAATGATGTACAAGCTTAATGAATATAATATGCAGAAGGGCAGAATGTAAAAAGAGAATTTAGCTCCATGTCCAAAATACTATTTGTGGCTCCTTCATAAACGACCTTGATGGCATCGCTCTGTAAATTCATCAAAATAAGAAAAACAAGAGAGTGGAATTTTCAGTTCTTCCTCTGCAAGTAACTTCTGGAGAACAGGAAGAAAATCAAGGTTTGTATGTCATATGCACAAATGATGATGATGAGAATGTAGGGGATAGGGCAGTGGAATGATAAGTAATTTTATGGATGACACAAAGATTAGCCGGGTGAAAACAGTGAGGAGGAAAGTGTTAGGTTACAGGAGGATATAAACAGATTGTTCAGATGGCCACATCAATGGCCAATGAAATTTAACACTGATAAATGTGAATTGATGTACTACATAAGAAGTAACAAAACGTAAGAGTACTCAAACTATGAAGAGGGGCTAGATTTGCTTGATTTTTCTTTGGAGCAGAGAAGGTTGAGTGGTGAACCTGATAAAGCTGTTTAAAAGCATGAGGGGTATGGACAGGGTGAACAGACAGCAGCTGTACCCCTTATTCGAAGGGTCAAGACCAAGAGGACACACTTTTAAAGTGAAAGGCGAGAGTTTCTGGAATATATTTTGAGGCCAGAGGGTGAGATGTGTCTAAAATACACTGCCTAGGAAGGTGGTTGTGGCAGGTAACCTCAGAAACTTTAAAAAGTACTTGGATCAGCACTTGGTGGTGCAGACTCAATGGGTCTCTTCTCTACTGTATGATTCTACGTGGTGGCAGCCATGAAAGCTTTGATATATTCTGAAGCACTGACCAATGGCACTTGATGGCTGGTTCTGTCAGTGGCTACATTACAAATTATCATCACCTCATTGAGTATCAGCACTTCCACAACCTAGGACACCCCAGCCATCTCTGAAAACATCCAGGATAATTCACATGCTCTGTGAAAGACTCTTCCAACAACAGCACCAACATTGTTCTAGCTGTTCGTCACTGCTATTTTAACTACAGCAATGACAGGCATACAGCTTTTCCTTCATCATAGCACAGACTTTTAGCTGCAAGGGTGTTATTTCTCAAAATTTCTTAAACTCCTTCTTGCTAGGTACTCACTTTGAGAGTGGTTTAGTTTTCCTGCCAGTTGTTAACACTTCCATCTATCCTCCCCAAATTTGAACACACACAACAGCAGGTTCAAGAACAGTTTCTTCCCTGCTGTTATTCAAATAACATTGATCTTCAAATAACGTTGATCTTGTCATTGTTATTCTTGCCTTGTGCATATCCTGTGCAGTGTAACCTGTTTGTCTCACTCTGTCCAAGATTATTTTCAACTATGATCTGTATGTCCTTGCTTACTATGATCTGCTGTACTGCTTGCAAACAAAGCTTTTCACTGTATTAAGGTACACATGACAATAAATAAATCAAATTAAATCCCTCTCCCTCCTCCCAGCTGTCCCAGTGCTAATGATCGTGCTGAGTTTTTCCATGATCCGGTTCCATGTTCCTGTGATTGGAAGGTGTTTTTCCAAAGAGAATATCTGAGTCAGGATTGGAATGTTCACAAACTAACAGACCACATTCACAGAGGAGGAAAACACCAGCGAACCAACCAAACTGAAACCCATTCCTCAGCACCATTTCACAATCTCTGAAATATGTGGAAACCATTCAGGTTTAGCTGATAAGCGGCAAACAAGAATAGTTCTTCAATATGGCCAGGTAGTAATTATCTCCAACAGGAGAGAATCCAAAAGCACCCCCTTGATATTCAGTGGCATAATCAATCTCCAACGACAAATATCCTGTGCATAACTAATGACCAGAAATTCAAGCCATGTAAAAGAGCATGTCAGATGCTAGCAATTCTATGGCAAGTAACTCAGCTCCTAAAGCTCCCCAAAGTCTATACATTATCTATATGGCACCAGGCAGGAGTGTGATGGAAGATCCTTTGGTACCTGGCTGAGCACAGCTGCAACAACTTTTATTGAGGAGAAAGTAGGCGGCATGTTTAATACTCCATCCACCACCAGTAACCCTTATTCTCTGCAACACCAACACACAATATGCACTGTTGGGATTCCCTCCCAACAGCACGGTGGATGCATCTACACCAACTGGACTGGAACTTCTCAGAGGCAATTAATACTGGTCTATCTCTGTTAAAGTCCCAAATGAATTCAGAAGAAAATCTGATTTTCTGATAATTGTTGAACAATGTAGACATTTTTATTGATCTGATGAACTCCTCACTGTCTTTGAATTTGTGTGATTTATTTGCAGAATTTTGTGGGCAATTTGAAAGAAAAGACAGTCTGACAGCTTAAGTCACAGATAATACAAGATAACGCTGCAATTAAGAAGCAGCTGGATGAGCGCTTAAAATCCCAGAGCATTGTAGGCTATAGACCCCAAGGTAAATGGGATTAATGTAGCTTGGAGTTTTTTGGCTGTCACAGGGCTGAAGGACCTGTTTGTATGCTGTATGACTCCAAGTATGACGCTATGACATTCATTTTTAAAAACAGAAAATGTAGACAATTTCCATAGCTTGTGAGCATCAAGTGAAGAGAAATAAAATCTCCAAGGTCACACAGCATTCTGACTTGGATCTATATCATTGTCCCAAAATGTCACTTGTTCAGAATACTGTACCTCTCTTTGAAACATATCTGTTAGTGTCCCTGCACCATGAGGACTACTGGGGTTCACCACCATATTCTGAATGGAAATTAGACAGAGGCAGTAAATGCTGGCCTTGCTAATGAAACTCACCTCATAGGAACAAATGAAAGGAATCTGCACTATTAAAGACATTTATTCAACATGATTTGATTTCTAAACCAGTTTTAATGAGGTTTTCACTTTGCCCTATGTTTCTGATCTTTCTGCTAAACCATGAAACTTTCCCAAGTATTTGCCAGGTGCTGCTTAAAAATCTCATTTGGAAGTTGTGCCCATCATTCTGAAAGGGAGAGCCTTCATGGTAATGAGAATGCTCTCATTGTTTTTCAGTATCTAAAGATAACAGAAATGTAGAAACTAAGATCAGGAATAAGTGATTGGACAACACAAAGCAACTCTGCCAGGTGATAAGATAGAGTTCAAACTCACTGGTCTACAGTTTCCAACTTTTTGCCCATCTCCTTTTTTGAATAAGGTGTCACATTACTAAGTTTCCAATACACTCGAACCTTTGCAGAGTCCAACAAATTTTTAAATACCATAACTAATGCACTACTATCTCTGATGCCACCTCCTGTAATACCCTAGGGTGCAGGCCATCATGGCCCGGGGACTTACCTAACTTTAAGGCCATCAGTTTACTTAATACCTTCTCCCTAGTCATGGTAAGTCCACCAAGATCCTCTGTAGTAAAAGCAGTTTTTGGGGACAGATTATTATCTTGCACTGTAAAAAACAGAAAGTATTGGTTAAATGCTTTTGCCATTTCTGAGTTCCCCATTATTACCTTGCCATTTTCCTCCACTAAAGAAGCCAACACTTACTTTCATTCTTCTCTTCTTTTTTATATACCTGTAGAAACTTCAAGTTTCAGAGTTTTTGTTTTCTGCTCATTTCCTTTCGTAGTTCATCTTAGCTCATTTGATCTTGTTTTTAATGACGCTTTGCTCATATTTAAAGTTTTCTGTTTTATTCATTCACAGGATGCATGTGACTCTTGGTGGGTCAACATTTATTGCCCATTCCTAATTACCAAGAGAATAGTTAAGAGTCAACAGTAATGCTGTACATCTGGAGTCACATGTAGGCCAGACCAGGTAAGGATGGTAGTTTCCCTCCATAAAGGACCAGATTAGTTTTTCCCTGACAATGAATTCATGGTCACCATCGGTCTCTTAATTCCAGATTCAAGTTCAAACTCCACCATCTGTCATGGCAGGATTTGAACCCAGGTCCCGAGAACATTACCTGTGTCTCTGGATTAACAGTCCAACAATAATACCATTCTGCCATCGTCTTCCTCAATCCTCCACAACGCAATTACCTTGTGCAGTATGATATGCCCTAGTTTTTGCCTTCAATTATCATTGACTTCCTTGTGAAGACATGGATGATGATTTTTCACCTTCCTCTCAGGAATATAATTTAATTAAGACTTACTTAGCATCTCCCTAAGTATTTGCCACTGTACTTCAACTGTCCTGCCGTTTAATGTTTTTGCCCGTTCAACTCGGGCCAACTCCTTCCTCAGGCCTGTGTAATTATCTTTGTCCAACCCTAAGACTCTCACATGCGACTCTGTCCTCACTCTTTCAATCTGAATTTGAAATTCTAGCATGTTGTGGTCACTTATCCAAGAGGATCTTTAACAATAAGACTATTTATCAATCCTTCCTCATTACATCATACCAAATCTAAAGTAGTCCATTCTCTGGTTGGTCCATGACGAGCTGTTTTAAGAAATCCCTCATATGCTCTTTGAGCCTTTCTTCAAGGCTGCCCTTGCCAGATTGATTAATCGAGTCAATGTGCATGTTCAAACCACCCATATTACCCTAGTGCCCTTCTCACAAGCCCTCATTATTTCCTGCTTTATACAATGTACTACTTCAGATGTACCGTATGGTGGGCTGAAAATTACTCTGACCAAAGGGCTTCTTCCCTTGCTTTTTCTTTCCATGCAGACTGATTCCAACTCACATTTTGAACTTTTATGATTCGTTCCCTCACCACGGCCATTAGAGGTGTGTGAGGGATTTGAATCTAAGGAGGATGAGAGAAATTAGGCTTATTCTTCCTACAGCAGAAAAGAGTAAGATGTGAACTTATTGAGGTGCTTACAATTATGAAAAATTTTACAGGATAACAAAAGGATATTCTGTATCCATTAGCTGGCATTACACTAAATAGGGTTCCCAATTTCAAGATTGTCAACAAAAAAGCTAGCAGTGAGATGAGAAAAAACTTCTTTATTCAGAGAGTTGTTAGGATTTGGAATGCACTGCCTGGAAGATTTGTAGATGTGAATTCAAAAGGGAACTGGACATGCATTTGAAAGTTATGAATTTAAATGTCTACAGAGATAGGGCTGGTAAATGGGATGAGCTGGGTGAACATTTGTGGAGCTGATGCATACACTGTAGCCCAATTGCATCTTCTGTACTTTAAAGTTCTGTATTCTATCATGTACGAACTAGATGTTCTGTGAAGCGGCCACCCAGTCTATGCTTTGTTTCCCCAATGTAGAGGAGACCACATTGTGAGCAGCGAATGCAGTACACTAGATTCTGGGAGGTGCAGGTGAAGTGTTGCTTCACCTGGAAGCTATGTTTGGGCACTTGGATACTGGAGAGGGAGGAGGTAAATGGGCAGGTGTTGCACCTTTGCCAGTTGCAGGGGAAGGTGGTATGGGGTGGTGGGGGGTGTTGTAGGTGAAGGAAGAGTGGACCAGAGTGTCCTGGAGGGAACAGTCCCTGTGGAAGGCAGACGAGGGAGGGGTGTGGAATATGTGTCTGGTGGTGGCATCTCGCTGGAGGTCATGGAAATGGCGTCTGATGATGTTCTGCATGTAGATGCTGGTGGGATGGTAGGTAAGGATAAGGGGAACCCTATCGCTGTAGCGGGAGGGAAAAGGGACGAGGGTGGAAATACAGGAGATGGGTCTGACCCGGTTGACAGCCCTGTTGACAACGGTGCTGAGGAATCCTCAGTTGAGGAAGAAGGTGGACATTTCAGAGGCTCCCTTGTTGAAGTTTCCCTTATCTGAATATATGTCACCGAGAAAGGGAACTGAGAGAATGGGATGGAATCTTTACAGGAAGCAGGATGTGAGGATGTATAGTCCGGGTAGCTGGGTGCCAGTCTATCCCCAGAAATGGAAACAGAGATGTTGAGGAAGGGAAGGGAGGAGACAGGTAGACCAGGTGAAAGGGAGAGCAGGGTGGAAATTGGAAGCAAAGTTGATGAACTTTTCCAATTCCAGATGAGAGAGGGAAGCAGCACCGATGATATTGTCGATGTATCGGGGAAAGAGTTGTGGGTGGAGTCCGGAATAGGACTAGAACAAGGAATGATCCACGTACTCCACGAAGAGACAGGCATAACTGGGGCTCATGCAGGTACCCATGGCCACCCCTCTGATCTGATGAAAATGAGAGGAGTTAAAATAGAAGTTGCTGAACGTGAGGATGATCCCGCCAAGCGGAGGAGGGTGGTGGTGGGTGGGGATGGTTCAGGTCCTTACTCCAGGAAGAAGCGGACAGCCCTAATACCCTCCTGGTGGGGAATAGATGTCTAAAGGGATTGCACGTTCATGGTAAAGAGGAGGCGGCTGCAGCCTGCAAACTGGAAATTTTGAAAACGGCGTAAATCGTTGCAACCTGGGATCCACACTCAGTTCCATACAGCGTCACATGCACACTCTCAAACTTTCTCTCGAACAGCATCGCAACACGCTGGCTCAGCACTGCACCACTCTGCAATTCTACTTCATCCTCCAGCTCATTCGCCATGCTAATAAGAAACTTGTTCTTTTCCTTTCAGGCATCAAGGACCACAAGATGCAACATCTCAGAGATACTCATTAAATAAAAACTGAAAGAATTGCAGATGCTGTAAATCTGGAACAAAAACAGAAGTTGCTGGAATAGATCAGCAGGTCTGGCAGCGTCAGTGGAGAAAAAAATCAGTGTTAACGTTTTGGGACTGGTGACCCTTCTTCAGAAGTGATGATAGCTGGGAAAATGTTAGAAAAGAGGGAGGGGGATCGGGTAGGTAGTAAATGATCCTATGATAGAGCCTGAAGAGAGAGAAGAGCAGTTGGAATGACAAAGCAGTTGATAACGATCTGGCTGGGAGGGTGAATAGTTGTTATTGGGGACTGCGAGTGACTAACAATAGGTAGTGGCAGAACAAGGCCTGGTATGTGTGGTAGTGGACTAGGACATGGGAGAGTTTAGGCCCAAAAATTATTGAACTCGATATTCAGTCCAGAGGGCTACAATGTCCCCAAGCAGAAAATGAGGTGTTGTTCTTCCAGCTTATGTTGAGCTTCACTAGAACACTGCAGGAAGCCTGAGACAGAGATGTTCGCCAGGGAACAGGGTGGTGTGTTAAAGTGGCAGGCAACGGGCAGCTCGTGTTCTTTTTCGCAAGCAGAACACAGATGTTCTGCGAAACAGTCACCCAGTCTACACTCTGTTTCTCAAATGTGGAGAAGAACACATTGTGAGCAGCAAATGCAGTAGACTAGGTTCCGGGAAGTGCAGGTGAAGTGTTGCTTCACCTGGAAGGTATGTTTGGATGGTGGGGAGGGAGGAGGTCAATGGGCAGGTGTTGCACCTTCGCCAGTTGCAGGGGAAGGTGCTGTGGCGGGGGGGTGTTGGGGGTGAACAAAGAGTGGACCAGGGTGTCCTGGAGGGAACGGTTCCTGAGGAAGGCGGGCAAGGGAGGGGAATGTGTGTCTTGTAGTGGCATCTCACTGGAGGTGGTGGAAATGGCGTCTGATGATCTTCTGCATGTGGATGCTGGTGGCATGGTAGGTAAAGACAAGGAGAACCCTATCGCTATTGCAGGGGGGAAGAGAAGGGGTGAGGGCAGAAGTGTGGGAGATGGGTTGAATCTGGTTGAGGGTCCTGTTGACAACAGTTCTGGGGAATCCTCAGTTGAGGAAGAAGGTGGACAGTTCAGAGCTCCCTTGTCAAAGTTTGCCTCATCTGAACATATCTGATGGAGAATGGGATTAAGTCTTTACAGGAATCAGGGGTGAGGATATATAGTCCAGGTAGCTGTGGGACTCAGTGCATTTATAGTGGATATTAGTGGCTAGTCTATCCCCAGAAATGGGAACAGAGATGTTGAGGAAAGGAGGGGAGGAGTCAGAGATAGACCAGGTGAAAGTGAGAGCAGGGTGGAAATTGGAAGCAAAATCAATGAACTTTTACAATTCTGGACAAGAGAGGGAAGCAGCACTGACAATATCATCGATATATTGGAGAAAGAGTTGTGGATCAGGGCCAGAATAGGACTGGAACAAGGAATGTTCCACGTACCCCACGAAGAGACAGGCATAACTTGGGCCCATGCCGGTACCCAGGGCCACCCCTCTGACTTGAAGAAAATGACAGGAGTTAAAAGAGAAGTTGTTGAGGGTGAGGACAAGCTCAGTCAAGAATTGGAGGATGGTGGTGGGTGGGGATGGTTTAGGTTTTTGCTCCAGGAAGAAGTGGAGATCCCTAAGACTCTCCTGGTGGGGAAAGGACGTGTAAAGGGATTGCACATCCATGGTAAAGAGGAGGCGGCTGGAACCTGCAAACTGGAAGTTTTTAAACCAGCGTAAAGTGTCAGAAGAATCATGGATGTACGTGGGCAGGGATTGGAGCAGGGGAGAGAAGACGACTGAGTCAAGGTAGGAAGAGATGAGTTCT